TTTTCAGAGGTAGAATCCGAGATTTGAAAGATGAAATCAAGTTTGAATAAATTGAAGGAATTGGCATGCAGCATCACTTAGTTCAGGTAATCCTTTTGCCATAAGTAGAGATATTATGTCTATTCTGATTATTTTTCCATTTTCTGTCTGGAGCATTTAAGATAGTGGAATTTAGCTAATAAAATAAGCTTTTCTATTACTTTTCAATTCCCGTTATAATAAAATTCAGTGCGAGCTAAACTAGAAGTAAAAATGGCTACACGGTGAGATGTATCATTTTCTTCTCCCCAGGAGTGTGAAGTTTAGGAATCTGAGTAAACTAAGGTTACATAGTTGCTTCAATAAACACCTGGGTAAGGTGTAAAAGATAAAATTGAATATCTTATTCCGCCAAGTCATTTAGAAGAATGTACTAGTAAACACTTAAAGTTGTGCCAAATTAAATCTGAAACAAGGCAGTATTTCTTGAATTTGTAAATTTTTTTTCTTTCTGTTATTGTTTCAGTTCCTATCATCACTCTTAGTTTATATTTACTTTCATTGCCAGTAGTATCATCTGTGTAGTCTTCCTCAGCCTCAGCAGCTGGTGTATTCCTTGAGAATCCAACCCAGTGCAGTAGGAGCACTGTGTGGAATAGAGATGCTCTAAGACTGCAGCAATTTAATATTTAATGTGTGCACTCAAAAAGTGAACGGTGTAAGCCAGAGAGGGATGACCACTGTTTCCCCCAGGGCTGCTGCAGTCAGCTCCATCCCATCCCACCCCTACTTCTTTGTGCCATGGCAGCAAATCCCACTGGAGTCAGCTCCATCCTGTCCCTCCTGCCTTGTGCCATGGCTCAGCTTGCAGTTTGGATATGTGGGTTCCTGGGTGTGAGTTCAGGCTCCTTTCCCTGGCTGCAGAGATCCCCACCACCTTGGCTGTCACCTTTCCTGCCTGCACAGGTAATTTTAACCCAAACTGCTCAAGAGTGAGCAGCTCCCCCTGGACAGGCAGGAGTGACAGGACAGGCTGAGCCCTACCACAGGCAGAGCATTTCCAGACAGTCCAGCTCAGAAGAGCTGTAGGAAATGTTTCCAAAGCTGCAGAGAGAATCTGCATTATCATTTTGTGGTGATTTCAGAGGGGTCACAGCAGAGGGTGACTCCTTCCCCTTGCCAGCAGGCAGGATGAAGGAAGACCCTGCTGTGCTGAGCTCCCAGCATTTCCCTGAGCAGGGTCTGAGGAAGGATCAGGCCAAATGTGTCAGGATGAGATATCCACATGCAGTAAATCTCGTTTCCTCCCCTACAGCTCTGAGTTAAAATTCAGCAGTGTGTGCAGTATGGCTCTTTCATTGAGGTCTGTCCGTTTAAAGGGTGCAGCACACTTGAGACAATTTCTGGGAACATCCAGTCAGGGTTGAATATATCAAACAAAAGGAGCCAAATTCCCCTCCTTGCTTGTGTTCCTCTGCAGGCAGGGAGGAGGTGTTGATCAGGCCAGAGGGGACGTTAATTTGTTATACTACTCTGCAAAAAAAAAAGAAATTATGAAAATTGGTGGTATTGATTATCAAGTTTAATAATTTCTCACCAAAGAAACTAAAAACCAGCAGTGACTGTAGATTTTTGCTTGTGCTGGTTGGAATTTGAGCTGTGTTTGTTCAGGACTTAGCAGGATGGACACCCTGGGCTGTGCCTTGGGGTGCCTGTTTGCTGCTGCAGTACCAACACTGCTGCAGGGAGATATTGGGGGTACATGGAGCTCCATTGGGCACTCACTGTAAAGGGGGGTTGCTGAGGAAGGTGTTTGCATGCCCAGCTTTCCCTAGGAAGGGAATTCATGTATGTGTAGTGATTGTTAACATAATTCTGCTCAGTGCAACCTCATCTCCAACTTGACATTGCTTTTGGTGGAAGTATTTGTGAGAATCTACAATGAGCAAGTGATAACAAATTCAATTAAATTATTACATTTCTAATGTGCACATTAACAGGGCATGAAGAAACTTCAATTGTGGTTCCAATTTCATCCCATCTTCTTAATTGTATGTGCAGTAACACCACACCTTGACATTTGCAAAGTGGCATCAGATCACCCCGAGTTTGAAATGTGATTCCCAGCCCATGATTATGTAAAATTAAACTGCTGCATAAGTACATTGGGAATTTGCAGGACAACCCTGCATCAAGGGACAAACAATTAACAGCTTTATGAGTGCTTTCCAATTTGTTTTTAAGAGTACATAGAAGTAAGAAATAGTACTGTGCAGACATATGTTTTGGTTTGTGGAGCCTGTTTCTGGATACTATTTTGAGCACTTCCATCAGCTGTGTAGTGGCAGACTTCACAAAAAGGTGTGCTATAAATCACTCTGGGTGTTAGAGCTGACAGCTTTAAATAAATACAGCTGACAGCTCAAATAGCTGCTCCATTGACAGTATGTGGTCTAAATGTGTTAACAAATGCGTGGACTCAGCACTTTGGGATTAGTTTAGCAAATAAATTACAAAACAATGCTGTGACCCAGCAAAAAGCACAATGCCTGTGTATCCCTGGGCTGCAGGCTTTGTTAACACTGCAACAGGCCAGTGGAGCTGTGTGGGAAAACACAAGAGTGCAGCCGGAGCTGGGCTCCTGCTGGGGCAGCCCTCACATCCCCAGGCTGCTTCTGGGTGGTGTCAGGGAACGGGAGCAGCGCTGGGGCTGTCCTGGTGAGTAATGGTTTAATAATGGATGCTTTTGCTTTGCAGCACCACAGATTCATAAAGGGAGGCAGTAACTTCACACTGGCTTGGGTTATGATTAAGAGTACAAAGTTACTGAGTAGCAATTATTGAAAAAAACTGCTTTCAGGGAAAACTTGAGATATTGAAATGTTTTTGTTTGTTTAATATTACTAGTTTCTGTAGAAAAGCTGGGAAGAGAAGATGAGGAAGGGGCTAGGCAGTTAAAAGGATTTCAGCTCTGAGGATGGATTGTATTAATAAGTTAATTATTTCCATTCTGAGCACTGCAAAAAATGAGAATTACATTAAGAATGATGTCACAGTTTGACATATTTAAGGCATGGTATTTTTCTGCTTAGAGGTTGAATAAAGCTAATGAGTTTTTTATATCTTAATTTTAACTGTTCACAAATACAGTACACTGGCACAAGGTGTCTACTTAATGTGAACATGTAATAGCACTCTTGAGACCTGTATTTT